TTTAGTGCTTTCATGTTTTCAGTAGTTGTCCCACTTAAATCTGTTCTTGACATCAATAAAATTCAACAACCTCCACAACTCGATACTGATAACTATGATTTAAATGAAGTGATTTTGTGAGGATTCCTGAATAGTTTAATAACGATTTTCATTAGAAATTAACATTATTGAAAATCAATAAACAATGGATAGCTGTTTCATTCAAGTTTAGGACCAGTTCACAGCTAACATAAAGTAACGATCCAACAATGGTCTAAAAGTCAATATATATGGAGTCTCATACCTTCAAACAATTGAACCAGAATTCAACGTTCTTTTTTTTCAATTCAATCAATGTGTAATATTACCAAAATCTTCAAACAAGTCGAAAATGAAACAGTAGATCAGAGATAAAAATCAATAAGTTTCTATCAGAAACTAACCAAAGCTATCATCGAACCTATTAAATTTTAACTCAATAATCTAAAAGTACTGTGCTCTCTTTCTGCGTTCCTGAGAAATCTCCTGATTTTGATTCCATGTGAGTTTCTGTGTGCATAACATTTCCAAGACATTGCGTATATGGATTATTAGTAAACTTAGTATTTTACTCTTGCCATTGAATCGTCTAGGAATATAGTAATTTCCTATCTATCCTCTCTCTTACCATTAACTAAACCTAAAACTAAAAAAAAACAAATGGTCATAAATTTTAAAATTCTTCTGTGGTATTCAGCTACTTTTTTGGCTGTTTTTGTCATTTCTTTACATATACATCTCCAATGGGAAAAATAATTTGTGTCTGTGACTAAACAAAAAATTATGGGATCCGTTGTATAAACACATAAGTAGTTCAAACTAAGCTAGAAATGCCGATGATTCTATATATTCGTTAAAAAATGAATAAATCTTACATGTTTCTCTGAATTTGCCTCTTTTATACTCCGTCTCACATACATACATGGTCTTATACATATATACATACTCATACTATCTTCCAAACCTCTCTCTGTCATGCTACTACACATTGTAATGTGTACTATATTGTATCCCAATACCAACCAATTTATGAATATGAGGTATTCGCTATTTTTTTTACTTCATTTCAATTTTTACCGCCAGTTTTAAATAACAATGATGGTAATAAAACCCAGTTACATGCATTATGAGGCAAGTCGATACAAAAGTAATACAGAAAAGGCAATATATACAGAAAATAATACAAATTTACATTTGTTATGAACATGGAACTAATTTAAATAAGTTGTTCAATTTTTTGTCGATGTGTAATGAACGATTTCCCAGTGATCAAAGACACACATATATTCATCTGTAACAACAGCTAAGTTTGGATAAAGTCAAGAAGCTTTTTACCAGGAAAACGCAAGGGAAAATATGTACAGTTAATGTGAATAGGAAATGGCAAATAATTATCCAAATTTAACTTTTTTTAAGGCAAATAATATGCAGAATTTAAAATTGCAATCGTCTGTCAGTCTTCAATTGCTGACGTGAATTTTATGTACTTCCATGATAATTAAACACGAAACTGAGACGTGTTAATGAGATTTTAGAATAAAGTAAAAGATCAGTAGGTTGAACAAATTTTTTCACACAAAATGTAGTTTGAAACAATTAGTCCCTTTGACAAATTTTGATAGCGTATTAATAATAAGAAGACGAAGATTATCAGAACTATGTGATGATATATTAGCGCAATACATTTCGAACAATCTGATCACACACAAGATACTTGTCAAGAACATTTGTCAACTAGACTAGAAATGGAGGGTAAGAGGAAACAAAGATAATAAATAAAATAATAAGAAAAGCAATTTGAAACCTCATCACTCTGGATAATAAGCTAATATTACCAAGGTAGGTTGAAGGTGAGAACAAACTGTTTTTGAATATATGAAGGAAGTTTGAATTTTCGTATAGCTAAGGTTTCAGTAAATCTTAGTATGTGCCCTTGTACACTTTTGTACAACACCACAAAAACCGTGTTAAGATCAGTTCTATGATATATTTCAACTGGGTTTGGCAACAGAGGATGATGAATGTTTATGATCTTCTACTCCTATTGGGTCATTTGATTTTATTTGTTCAGATATCCTAATATGGAGATCATGATTACTCTTCCCTTTGTATGTGTGACCACACACATACATATATGAATTGATAAACACAGTGAGGTGTGAAGCAATCGTCTTCATATCTTTTAGGTTTTTGGTGAAGCAGGGCTTGTTTTTACTTTGTTAATGACCTTTGCTGCATAGTACATCTTGCTGATAAATGGTTTAAGCCTTTAAAGAGCAATAATATATATTGTAAAATCTCAGCGAAAGAAATTGAAGTAATTCCAACGTTTCGCCTGGCAATCTGGTCCAAGCTTCTTCAAGGAAAATATAATCAAACAACAAAATTATATTTTCCTTGAAGAAGCTTGGACCAGATTGCCAGGCGAAACGTTGGAATTACTTCAAATTCTTCCGCTGAGATTTTACGAATATATATTATTCCTCTTTAATGACTCACATTAACTCGGCACCCAAATATAGTGAAACTATTCGTTCAAATTTAGACGAAAGTTCTTATTTAGATTTAAGCCTTTGTTTCAATAAAATACATTTTAATCACTTCTAAACGGTGAGGTGATGAAGACAAGATTTTTGTTCCAAGGCTATAGTAGGTCTCACTGTACCATGGGCTTTCCATCTATTCATGCATTTAAGAGCATACCCATTTTCTATTAATGTTTGACTTGGCAACCTAATATCATCATCAATGGCGTCATTTTTACAAATACGATCAAGTCTGCTAAATAGACACCTTAATAAACCCCGTCTGTACTGCACTGGGCAGTAACTATAGTAACTAAGGTATTGGCCTGTCCAAGTTGGTTTTCTAAAAATGGATCGTTTGACTGACTTGTCTTCTCGTCTACTTAGAAGTACATATAAGAAAGGAAGTTGGTCGTTCTTCTCCTCTGGTGTGGTCCTGAAGTGTTAAGTTTATTCAATAAACAATTCATATCTTCCTATCTTTCATAGATAACTAAGATACCATTCCCATATCTCATATAAAAAGACATGTTTTCGATGAGGTCTTCAGCTAGTTTTGCAACATGTGTCATGAAAACATCTGCTAATAATGATCTTAACGGACTACCCATAGTAACCCCATCGGTCTGACAAAAGTATTCACCTTCAAATGTGAACTGGACTTTGTTACTACATAAAAGTAGTAAATCTTTAAGAATTTTTAACGGAACTGGTAATTTAAGGTTGTCCAAAGACATGTAGTTACACAGTATATCAATAGTCTTTTTCTAAAGTACATTTGTGAACAAGGAGTTCACGTCAATTGAACATATTGTATTTCCCTTGATATCAATATCACCTAAATGATCGACTTGCTTAAAAGAATCCTTCAGAGAATAATTGAACTTGAGAATACATGAACGTCTTCAGATAGGATCCAGCAATTTTATCAGCCATTTAGCTAGGTTATGTGTAGATGATGATTAGTTTCAATTTCGTGGATGATTCCAATTCACCTTTACTGGAAATATATCTTAGCAAAAAGAATTGCATCAGAAGGGGTTTTGTGGATATTATAGTAATTTTAATATTTGAGATCATAAGTCAATTGAAGCTAGACCGTTGGATGCTGGCTCAGTGGTCTAGAGGTTAAGCACTCACGCGCGAGGCTGATAGGTCCAGGGTTCAAATCTCTCAAGGCGGGATCGTGGATGCGCACTGCTGAGGAGTCCCACAATAGGACAAAACGGCCGTTCAGTGCTTCCAGGTTTTCCATGATGGTCTAACTTCAATTGACTCATGATCTCATATATTAAAAAAGAATTGTAATTCCCTGCCGTTAATATAAGTGATTGCATTTGGTCAGTCTCCTTTGAGGTATGCACTTATTGAATGAACACTTTGACGTTGTTGTTATAGATACATATTTTTGAAATATTTAGATTGTTAGTAAGGGCCTTTGAGTTATCTCTAAAAATTCACAAATTATGGTCTGTATTCCTTATTCTTCTCATCTATTATCAACCCTTAATGTGTTAACAGTTCAGTATTAGTAAGTTTTACTTCACTTTTAATAAGATGCAAGCTATCTGCCACAAAGGCTCATTAGCTACTGAATATAATCTCACTATTTCATTAGTAATGCATATCTTTACTGTAGATTGTAATTTAACAGCTGTTATTTTTTAAATTCCAGTAAATGAAAGTTAATGTTAAAATTCCTGGTTAAATTGTCTCAATAATATCATAACCATATGTTTACTGACATTGAATATAACTATGAGAGATATTATCATTTTATATCTGAGTATTACTGTGAGATGATAGCAAAATGTTTACCGAATAGTACTCCAATCGAACATGCTTTTTAAATACACTACAATTTATTTGATAAGCGAAAGTAGAGTTTTAAATACATATAATTTTTTGATAGCTGCTAAGATTCCGTTATGAGCTGGACTTTCCCCGTTAATCATAATCATCATAATTGAGCATAACCTACCTAATTCAGTGATTGAACTCATTGCTGATTGACCGAATGTGTCCAGACATTTCATGAGCCTGTCGATATGCCATTTGAAATCCAAACGGTAAGTAAGGTGATAAACAACCCACGCTATTTCATAAAGCCTACATATTCTTTTTTAGATCCGAAGGATAGATGCACTTATACCTATGATTCCTATACATTATCCAGTTTGCCAGTTACAAACTCCTGTTTATTTTTCAGTATTCTCTCACATAGTATGTTAGGTAGAAGTGTAGTGAGCGGTCGAGGAACACAACAGTTACCATCACTCATATAGCTATCTCCTTTGTTTGGAACCCTTCAAAGACAGGTGATAATATTTAGAACACATTGTAAAGAGAATAAAGTTTTAAACTATTTAATTGTAATAATGTATTGTGCAAAACCTTTATTAACTAATCAAATGTAATGTTATGATTCTTATTCAACTTTTTTTGTATTCACTATAGAGATATATTATCAATCGGGGTTGGGTGTTTAAGCTCTGGTCTTTGGCTCCTCTCTGTCACATTATTCACTTTTCTTCATGCTCATGTTTTTATTTATGAAATACCTGATGATAATATCGATGAACACCAAGATGTGGTAACTAGGAGAAAAGAGGTAAGATTATGTTATAATTTTATACCGAGAATATTAAACAAATGCATCCAAAATGCAGAGAAAGGCCTTGATTCTTTAATGTGCATTTTCTTGAGTAGATTATCCAATTTTTTTAAAAACACATTCACGATTATATTTTCAATATAACTCTGAAATAAATGACGAAGTGGCTTGACATTAAAGCTAAATATAGACGTTTAAATAGAATACTAAATTTCTTACCGATGTGAACATTTAGTCAATATGTGGTGCTCAAATAATATGGTTCCGTTAAATATGTACAATAATAAAATGAAGTTACTTCAGTCGTAATTTTTATATAATTCTTCCCTATAAATCCAAACTATTATTCCAACAATGCCGTTTATTGATGCATGATTTTACAATAGAAAGAAGAGCTTGTGAAACAGTTAACCAATATATTTATCTTATGAGCCTCAAATTCATTTTCATATCATGAATACCAAAGTTTATGTGATACAGACAAAATATTTTACTGTATAACTGTTTAATAATTGCTATCTTTTAATGAATCTCTAGATAATGTCAGTTCTCGTTGAAAATCCATCGAATACGTTTTAATTTCAATGTGAATGACTTTTCTTAAACGTTAACGCTAACACTAAAATAAATCCTATACAATCAATTAGACTGAGTTTATCCAGAATGTTTCCAACGTTTAACTAGTGTATTGTGTTCAACAGCAAAATCTATTATTTTTCGTTACCTTAATAAGTGATTACTGAATAATAAAGTGTAATTTTCATTAAAGATTTCATCTGACATACTGGTCAGTTCGACATTAGACGACATGTTCATACCAGACATTTTCAGATAATTCAACATGCTTGAAATGAAATCGTTGATGAAAATTATCGTCTAATATCTATCAGTCATTTACTGAATAAATGAGGAAATGATTGAAAATACTCAAGAAACACTAGAAACATTAAGGATAACCTCAGGTGATCAATTAACATAAAACTAAATCGTTTGATTATAACTTTGTTAAAATTTATTCACTTTTTTTTTACTTATCATAATCCATTCACTTGATGAATGAGAACGAACTTCTTTTTGTTTCTATTTATTAAACTGTAATTTACTTCTTTTCAATGAAAAATATTTCTGATTCATATTTCCTCTCTTTTTTTCTACAAATTTTTCATCTAACCGAAAAACAAGAAAAAAAAGATATTTGTATCTTTAAAACATGAAATTAATACAAAATAATTCTATTTATTGATTTATCCTTTTAAATGGACAATAAAATTAACTGTCCTAAGTAAACTATAAACACCGACTTTTCTTTTGCATACAAACTCGTTTCCATCGCTTGAATTTTACTGAATATATATTGACTTATCTATTAAAGTTACTATAAATACTGTTTGGTTATAATGTGACAATAAATTTATTTAAGTATTTAACGATACTACTACTGTTGTTGCTTAAAGAAATGTCACACATCCTAGACTGATAATACATGAACAGTGTTAGAAAATATCGTAAATACTGAAGAAATATAACTTGTCAGCAGTTATTAAATAACATTCACCTTGCCAGATATTGCAAATCTATCCCTTGATTATTCAAATCTTCAGGTATACACATTAAAAATGAGCCTTCAGTGCTCCGCGTCATAGAATTCAGGTTATGACGGCATTGATTGACGGGCTGAGCCCTGTTGACTAATGGTTTGTACATACATTCTATTGGGTTGTGGAGATTTTTGAATTTCATTGAAATCACGAATCGATCTAAGTTAGACCACTATTGAAAACCTACAAGCACTGAACGGCCGTTTCGTTCTAATACGGGACTTTTCCGAATTGCCCATCCATGACCCGACATCCGGGGCTCGAACCCGGAACCTATGTCTTGCATTAGATCCCAAATTTCAAAAACGTTTCGTACTTTTTATTCCATGAATTTATTCACGCTTCTCAAATCATATTATGTCTAATCTATTCCATAACTGTTTATAATCTTACTACTTCTACTACTCTGCCATGATTTGTCTTAATAATATATTTTTCTGTGTTGACACTGTGTGGCATATATGTGCCGGGTTCTACGCTGCTTGTGACTGACTGTTTTCAGTCAGCTCATTATGTTACGAGATTATCAATCATTCAGTGTTATTAGTAATAACTATGTTCATTCATGACACGTGATTGAACTCGAGCAGTTAAATCTAATTTACTATAAGTGAAACTGATTTATCTAACTGAAAGATACAATTTCCGAGGTGGAAAGCCATTGAAATTGTGAAATCTACAATTATTATTTTGTACTTAATCGAATAAGTTTTCAAATAATTTATTGTTTTCTATGGTTGGAGGTAATCAACCCCGAGTAGCTCATTAGCACTCCCAGGCTATGAAACTGAGTGACGCAGTTCCGAATCTCAAGGGCAGCATCTATCCTTTAAATACTGTAGGTCCACGTAACCGACGAGTGCCAACCAGCACGAAAACTAAGTCAATTAAGGTTTCTTGTCAACTACCTCTAACCACCCTACATTTCAACGCAATCCATGTTATATCAACTAGCTTAGACCAATGACCAGATTACAACTTAATCGATAGAATTAGATATGCATTAAAAAGGATTTGATATAAATTACATTGGTCACTACCCAGCGATCAATCAATATAACACATTGTACATTTTGATCTCATACCTGCTATATATGGTATTATTTTATGACTATTAAGTAATTAGATTATTTATATTCACATTCATTTTATCATAAGCTCTCATTTGACCCATAAACTACTACTGTGGTGTGTGATACTGATGTCAGCAGATATCAGTAGTATGTATCACCAAACGAAAGTGGAGTGTTTGGAGACAGAAGCTTGAGAAAATTGAAGAGAAGAGAATGAAAACAGAGAGCGATTTGTGTGGAAACGAAGGAGGCAATTAATTGACATTTTGCAAATGAAGTATTACTTTATATTTTCCAGATTTTACCATGATATTCTGTAATGTATTAGAATGCACTTGGTTGTCTTCGCCTGTGTTCTCGTTCACTACACTACCATACAATTTACTGTTCTTAGTCTATTGCCAGTTTATTATTCAGTCTCATCTCCTTACAGCCACTTTTGTTATGTTCATTTACAACTGTTATTTCGCATTTTATGGTGTGATGCCGTCTGATTTGCTTCCACATAAACTTCGTATGTCTGAAATATATTCCTTATATAGAGAGGGACGATATTGTGTTCTGGGCTCGACGGGCAGAGCAAGGCGAGAGGATGTTATACCGAGGACCAATAATAGATTAGAGTTGACTCAGGGCTACTGGTGCTGGTTGGTGTGTCATTAGTTAATCAAAGGATGAGATCATAAAAATCAATATTCTGATTGACGTTTTTGTCACGTGATATTTGACAGGTCGTAAAAGTACTCTCGTACAAAAAGGTAAATGTGAAACTAGTAGCTGATGATGTACTTTCAGATTTCGATTGTCAGGCAACAATGGTTATTATTTATAAACTTGATGGATTTATTTATTTTTCAGTGACTAAATTTAGAAAGAATTTTCAGCGTTCTGCTTATAGAGTTATGACTGGAAGCATTAAAATTAATGTCGACAGTTGAAAATATGAATTTTTGTTCGAATTTCAACCCAATAGTCTAAAGATCAATTCATTTTTGTATTGGTTGTTTGAATCTTCCCAATGACGTTCGGGATTAATAGCCATTCACTTGTGCAACAGGTATGGGATTTCATTCAATTTGAACTCAGTACCTAAGTGGATAACGTAATGGTGTTTGAAACGAATGATACTAGGTTCGAGTCGCGGAGTGAATACCAACTTTAGGATGCAGGTACACCTATCTGATGAGTCTCAAATTAGAAGAAACGTATATTTTAGATTCCGATCCCAGCCACATCCAATCTATCCTGTAGCAGACATTAATAAGCTAATAATTCACTGATTACCTAATCTTACAAGTGAGCTGATTAGTAAACACTGACTTCAACGCGACGGGATAATATTTAAGAACTTAACAACCCCTAAACGTCTTTTCATTATAAGTCTTACTAGCGACCCCTATAACAGTGATAACGAGGATAAAAGTCGATTTTTAGAATTCTGATTACATATAATAAGTAGAAATCATTATGCATTCAATTAATACAACTACGAGAAGAACTAATCAATATATTTCTAAATGAATCGAAATCTGAACACTGTATACAAGTAAATATTACAAAATCAAATGCAATCCAGAAAGAATGGGTTACAGATTTTAAAAAAATCTTAGTTTATTCAGCAACGACACAGCGTTTGTAAGGAACTACACAACGAAATCGATGGAGAGCCTTGAAGTCACTGTTAATTTAAATTTAGCCAGGGCACTGTAGTCAGAATTTCAAGAAAATTCCTCAGTTTCACTCCCGAAATTTTTTTTTGTGGAATCTGAACATTCAGTCGAATTTACAATTTGTTCAGCTAATCAGTCCTGCTTACCGCTCATCCGACAAGCTCATAGGAATTAAGCACATTCTCATCTACAGAACAAAAAAGACTTGTCTGTTCATATCGCCACGAATCAATTCATGTGACAAATTGTTCAGCTTGAAAAGATGAATGGAAGTGAAGGCACAAATATGCAATCTCTTGTGAATTAGTGAATGATGGAGAATTGTCTTTCAACTTGTTGATGAGGGAAAACACGATTTCCAACAAAACTGAACAATATGTGGAACAAGTTGAAAGTATCACCGTCTCACCTATGTTGCCACAGAAATGTCTGACATCGTTTCTTGGGAAGAGGTGACATGACAGTAAAACAATTAAGCCTGATAATCAGTCACTAGTTTTATTAGAGAATGAATGATCTATAGTTGTCGTAATTACAAGTATGTTTAATATATTGTTTGTTGTAAGCACGTTACTTTGTCACGAAAAAGTATTTTTTTGTTGGACAGTCATTTTGTCTTCTGATACCTTTCCGCTTGAGGGTTCACGTCAATAATTCTGTCTCATGAGCAGCGATTACTCGGTTATATTGTATCATTGCATTTCATTCATTCATCAATATCTGATTTGTTATTCACTTTAACAACACAAAATTCACTCACCATCGATCAGAAAATCTTAATTCATTGTTGTTTATTACAGCGAAATTCCATTTAACCTTTCTTTCTGTTTCCTATCATTTAAATTATTTGCTCGACAATTTCGGTCAATCTAAAGTATTTCTGAACACGATAAGCACTGACAATATTTTAAGTGGACATATGCACTGCGGTGATATCCGGATCTATGGTCTTTTATCATCTTTTCGTTTTAAAAATTACTCCAAAGAATATTGATTTCAATTTGTTTTTGTTTTTCTCCATTGTGTTATATTTTTTATTTTTTAGGATCAAACATTTAACACTGAACATGAATTTGAATATAGAATAACAGAAAAAGTGATAATGGATCATTCATCTTGAAAATTAAAATTGACGAACTATTCTCTCCTATTCATCGCTATTTTGGTTCGATTGCCGACACACACACACACACTTGCACATTCAAATGATACATGCAATCGTGTAAATAATTATTATTTGATTTCATTTTTTTGCTTAATATTAAAATAAACAAAAACGCGATTATGTACAAGAGTAAACAAATAACTCCAAATTACGTTAAGATTATTGGCCACTATCATTTGTTCTCTAATGATTAATTTCGAAAGGTAATTCTGAAAGCGCTTGTGAGAAACTATGAATAAGGGAGTTGGATAACGGTTGCGCATAATCAAGAATTGATTGAAGTCAGATATATAGACCAAGAGCTCCTAATTCAGTTGTCTAAATATTAAGCACTTGTTGCCCGACCTGAAGTTTATGTGTCCGATCGCTGGTGAGGTTCTGGACACTTATTGCTAATACGTCACATATAAAGACGGAATGGGTGTCCAGTTATCAGTGCTCAATTATCATATAATACAATACCAGCGGTAAAACATTTACATAAATGAGTTTGTCCTGGGAGTCTTTCCATAAATGCCAAGGTGGTAAAGGCACCTTCTATTGCATTATTCATAAAACAAACGATATTAAGCACTATTTTGTCAACCGTCAGACAAAACAATGGAAATAACAATCCCGAACCTGATTACGATAGTTGATTCTAGGAGTTCCAGTTAGAAGTGGCCATCAGTAGAGCTCATACATTTATGCCTCTAATCTCTACATTATCGTTAACTATACTTTATGCTATTAATCTGGATCATGAACTTATTTCCTGCATAAAATCTAACTTAACTGCCTATCTAATACTTTCATTTGATTTCTAACTGTTTATACAAAATGCACTAGATAAATGGTGATTTATTTAAGTTTGCAGCTTTCCTCTC